GGGCTACACACGCTGAAACATGGATACACACACGCACACGCACGCACGCTGAGTGGACGGCTCCGCTTTCCTCCGAGTCCCGCGTCAAACCCGCTTCCTTCCAGCAGCTCAAGGAAGAAAATCTTTATCCAGGAAGGAGCACTTCTTTTCTCCAGGCTTCGCTTATTGTTCAGGCATGGCAGGCGTGAGCGGTGTGTGCCTGTGTGTGTGTGTGTGAGAGAGAGAAACACTCACAAAGTAAAGAGTCTGAGAACACGACACCTCCAGCCTTCTCTCCTCCACCCCTCCTTCACTTCTCGCATCCAAAAGGCGCTGCTCTGCAGAGGAGAAAGTCCAAACTTGGTTGTGAAACTCTCCGCCGCGGGCAGAGAGAGAGAGAAAGAAAACAACAACAATGCCCAAACTTTGTTGTGCTCTTCTCCAGGCTCACTTACAAAATGGCCTCCTTTAAACAGGAAACAGTGAGAATGAAGGGGAGCTAGAGACCGCACTCCTTTTTACGAGACCTTGCCCTGTTTCAGTTTCAACCCCTGTTCGGTCTTTTTTGTGAAAAAGAAGAGAGCGAAAAGCGCTGTCTGAGGGTACCTCCCTCTACCCTCCCTCCTGCCTTCGCATCTTACGCTAAACAAGGAGGAAGTGAAATGACGGACACATCTTGAAGCCAATAGGCATTCAGAAAGTCCTGACTCCCAGACCTCCCCCTCCTCCCTTTCCTCGTCTGGCTCCCTTCCTTAGTTTAGGGACATTTGTCTTGTTTGGTCCCTCCTGTAGCCGGAGACAACATAGATACATGGCCCAGGGCGCTGCTTCACGCATAAAACCCCTCCCACCGCTTCCTCGTCCTTCCTTTAAGTTCACAAGCCACCTTCTGTCTCTCCTAAAGTTGCCTTATTTTTCCTCTGTATTTTGTTTTTTTTTGGGGGGGGGAGACACGCCTCTCATAAACTGCAGAAAAAGGACCGCACCTATGGAAGGTTCTTTCCATGCTCCAGGTTTCATGAAAATTGAGAAGTTTAATGGACTGAGAGTGGTGACTTGGGTGGGTTTGGACAATGACACTCTGTATGCAGCAGATTAAAAGGAAAAAAAAACGTTTGGTTAATGAAGTCATCAGCGTGACTGTGACTCCTCACTGGTAATCTAATCATTTAACACAGTAAGAATGCTTGTGAAATTTGTGGTTTCCTAGTTGAAGTTCTAATAAACCGCTCTGATTGGTTAAGCAAAAAAACAGTGTGTGCAGTTTATCTCAGTGCCACTGTCGCGCTTATATCTGTGAAGGCATCTCCCGATGTTCATTTCATACAAATTAAATAAGGCGAGTTAGACTTGAATGAAACAAGATAGAAAACAAAACGCTTGAATTGATTCAATTTGCCACCACAAGGGGGCAGTGTTGGATAAAATCGGATCCTACAGACCCTGTGTGATTTGGATATAAAATGTTTGATTCCCAAGCATTAGTTAAGCTGCAGGTTACATCTTAGGTTATAAATGACATGGGGACATGGGGGGAAATTGATAATCAGGTGTTTGATGATGTTAAAGGATGTTCCTTAAAAGGCAATTGCTCCCCAGTGAATTGCCACCTCCTCTCTGATGAGGGGGAACTGTGATGTTGTTTAAATCCTCTTTTTTTTTCACTTTCTAAAAGGATTATTTTAAACATATGGGACAGGAAGTGTGAACTGCGAGAACAAGTTTTAGAACCACTGAATGAAGGCATGAAACTAAACCACCATGTACCAGAACATGCTATAGCCCACAATGAGTATGCGTTAAATACATATGTGCATGTTTGCATGTTAGCCAAACAATAAATACTTACTATTTATTTTATACACACCATCCACTTCATTACATACATACACACCTGCTCAAATACTTTTAAGCAAATAACCAGCAAAATCACACGACAACAACTCAGTACACTTAGGCTTATGGTTAACATCAAGACAAGTTCAATCTAAGCATCGGATTGGGGAAGAAAAGCGATTTAAGTGACTTTGAAGTGGCATCATTGCTGGGATTTTTCCACACAACCATCTCTATGGTTTACAGATAATGGTCCAAAGAGAAAAAGAGAAAATATCCAGAGAGTGGCAGTTCCCTATGTTAAAAAGCTTTTGCCAGAGGTCAAAGGACAATGGCCAGGCTGCTTCAAGCTGATAGGAAGGCAGTGACACAAATAATCACTTGTTACAACCAGAAGAGCATCTCTGAATGCTAAACGCGATCATAACTTGAAGAAGATGGGCTACAGCAGCAGAGCACCACACTGGGTATCGCTGCTGTCAGCTGACAACTGAGCCTACAACGTGCAGGGGTTCACTAAAACTGGACAAAAGAACATTCAAACAGTAGGGTCAGGATTTCGTGAGAACAATATGAAAGCTTGGGTCCATCCTGCCTTGTGTGGAGGACATTTTCTTGGCACACCTTGGGCCCCTTAGTATCAAATGATTATTCTTTTAAACACCACAGTCTAGCTGAGTATTGTTGCTAGCCACATCATGGATGTGCAGCAACTGTGTTTTGCTATCATGTCAATATGAACCAAAATATCTGAGGAATACTTCCAGCACCTTGTTGAATCTGTGTCATGATGAATTAAGGTCGTTCTGGGGTCCAACCCAGCGCTAGCGAGGTGCATCTAATGAAGTGGTGAGTGTGTATATCCTGTTGTGTGGTTATGTTGGAAAGTCCCAGCAGATCAGTGATCTGTGAAATACTTAATGTTCAAAGTCACTTAAAGCCCTTTTATTCCCCCCTTCTGCTGACACGAGGCCATCTTCACCATGTTTGTATACCTAAATGCTGTAAATTGCTGCCACGTGATTGGCTGCTTAGCTATTTGTGTTACTATGCAGTTGAACATGTAATAATGAACACACTCACTCAGTGAAAATTAGTGCATTTGTAACTGCAAGATTTGACGACTAAAACCTAACTTCTTTTATACACTAGTTTCAAGAATAGTTAAGTCATTATGAGGTTACACTGTATGAACAATGTATGCAGAGTTTGACATCAAAAGACTGTCATGAAATTTACCAGACACGGAGAGTCCATGACAGACGACATCAAGCCATGTTATAGGACATGTGGAGTTTGTATACATAAGGCCTGAAAGTCAGGAAAGTCTCTGATGTAAATCTTCAGACCAATCTTTAACTTTACTGTGTGAAAGCTGGAAAATAAATTCCTAGTAATTCATCACCCTACTTCTATACCGGATCATCATAAGTAAGGATTACAGTGTAAGTGATCACACCTTCATGTATCTTCATGTATTTCCAAGTACGGCATCCTTTAGTAGAAAGAAAGACAGACAGACAAGAAAAAACTCAACTCTCAATTCACTGTACAAAATTTTCATTTTTTTGTCTTTTCTTCCTTAATGACATACAACAGGGGACCCGTAAACAAAAAAAGAAAAGTCATTTGATACAAGCTAAAATGCAGTTCAAAAATATATAATAAAACAAAATTAATAAAAAGCAGGTCTCTTATCCCTTGTAGTTGGAGGAAATTGTTTGAATACAGCTTAATATGATGTACAAAATATCACACAGTGATAAATTGCTAATAAAAAAATAAAAAACACAAAGAAATGAGAGTTCTTTACCTTGGCCTCCGACTGGTAACAGATTTTGTTTTTTTTTAAATCTTCTTTTCGTCTGTTTTTTGTGTTTTTTAATCGTTTCGCTTTTTTACAAGTTTTACATTGCCATTATCAATCACAAGCAAGTTCTATGCCTAGCAAGGAAGAATGATTCACTTATGATACTACAGTATTCTTACATCTTAATAATCATATTCATAACCAAAGGAGAGAGAAAAAAATGAAAGAAAACAAAGAAATGATGGACATTTACAGCACATAATGGCAACTCTAACCATCATTTACAACCTCTGCTTCGAGTTCCTCTTGTTTTCCTCTTATTAATGTGTCACACTGATTTGTCGTCATTCTCAGACAGGGGACATAGTAGCTCAGAGCGAGAAGAAAGTGTCAGTAACGCCCGCTGTCATATAACCGTGAACGGCAACAGTTCCACCTTTGTAGTATTCGCTTCAGATCGAATACATCGTTTCTGCACCCTGTCTATCCTCTTGTAATGTAAAGCATTCACTTTTAGATATAGTGCAACAAGGGGTCAAATAGTTAATACGTGATAATAGGACGTCATGCCCAGCAGCAGTATAATAATGTAGTTGCCCCGTGTTGTTGTCTTTGACAGACTTGTGTCAAAGGAACAGCAGTGTGACATCTTGTCTAATTTCACACAACAGTCTTCCACTCTGTTTGGAGAGAAAAAAAAATCTCTCACTACATATATATATATAAATGAACTATGAATGCTAGTGTCACCAGTGATTAAAAGTGTTTAGTTCCAGCCAACTTTAACTCTTTCCCCTATAAAGACAACATCTGACGACCTCCTCTGTATTCTTAATAAGAAGCTTTGCCGCCTCAGTACATATGGATGCAGGTGTGGTTTGATGACCTTTAGAATAGTTCTGGGTTTTTCCAAGGGTAGCTGAATAGGCAGAGACCACCCTCATAAACTTCTGATGCAAACTCAGTCATTTTGTTCTATAAGCAGGCCGCTCAGTCAGGAAAGCGCTTCAAGGGTTACCTCTAGTAGGCTTTCAAGGGGTAAAGAGTTAAGCTGTCATCTGACCACCAGTGTGACACACAGTGTGTAATCTTGAAGAGCTGACGCCTAACCGAGTGCAGATTTTAGAGGTTTTCTAAAGGTAATGAAAAAATAATCTGGGACGAGGTCAGCTGTGAAGAGGCAACTTAAAGCAAACAAACTGTCCTGTAGTCAACAGCACAAATGCAGGACATCAACAAACATGGGTCTCAAAATAACGATGCTTCCAGCTGAGCCAAAAGTTGACAGTTTACCTCCTAAACTGAGTCAGACGTCTTAAATCAACACTTTTTTTGTATGGCTGAATTTAAAATGGAGTATTTGTTTATTTTTTTAAACCCGTCCAGCATCCCTCTTCAGGAAGAGGACACACGCTTCACTAGATTAGTTCTGCGGCTAATGTGCTCCCTGTGTTCATCATTCAAGAAGAAGAAATCCTCACCTCATCACTCGAGTAAAGGTGATGTCAGGCTTTTGTGAAAGCCCGAATAAATAAAAACAATCACGAGACGCGAGCAGCCTGCAAAAAAACTGGCACCGACTTCAAAGAGACAATCTCTCATCCGAGCTCCTCCACTGTAAAATAATTACCAGCTCGATGCACTGCTCGAGCCGGAGACACTCAAAGCCGACCATATGCACATCCCTCTAATGAAAAACATAACTAGGATGGACTGTCAATTCTGAAATTTGACCACAATTAATGAAATGATCCAACAGCGAAATGTCACACGAATGATGATTTTACTGAACGTACACGTGTGGACCAGTGAGAGAGAAACACTCACAAAACATGTCCCTGATTCTGACTCAAGACTGATGAAGTCTTTCATAGCACCGTGGTTGAACTAGTGCATATACAAACATACACACACACTCACATACACTCCTCTGTACAGTAAAAAGCACCAGGCCAGCCTCGCACCTCTCTAGTCTACAGACTTTAACTATGCTCAGTCATATCCATCCTAAGCTGGTTCATGCGGTGTGAGAGACTCTATACGCACTGTACATCTGTAGAAATAAGTTTGTGAGAGTTATCTAAGTGACATCTAATCTCACGCACACACACACACACGTACGTAGAGGCAGAATCACGGGGACGCTATAGCAATCAGACATACAATGAAACTAGGTTGTTCAATCAACACTATTCAGCTTTCTAGTGCCTCCTCACAGCACACACGACTAACTCAAACATCCTCCAACACCACACACACATCCTCCTCACCGAGTCTTTGGAATGCAACACATTGATTCCCAATGCAGAGGTTAGGTCAGGTGTTTTCCGTCAATGCTGAGAACTGTTATTCCTTTAAGTCAAGCCTACGTATGTGTGTTAGCCACAAGCAATGTTTCAACTGTTAAAAAAACAAAAAACAATTTAAAATCAAGTGTTTCCCCCTCGGCTCTCAGTGAAATGCAAGCATTGTGCAAGCACTTGAAGCGCACAAGCGTACACACATAGTACTTTGTGAAAAGGAAAGGAAAAAAAAGAACAGAATATTGTAGTGTAGAAAAGTGTTACTCCAAATATGATTACTTGAAAACAGAGCAGCCAGAGTTTGAAAGTTATAAAAAAGCATTACAAGATGTGATTAGTATTACAAGAAGTCACTGAGGCATTAGAGAACTGTGAGGAGTTTTCGGAGCGGAGGGGGAGGAAGTTGATGGTTGACGTCCTGTGGCGATGACCCAGCCAGTGGGGTGCAGGACTAATTGTGTGTGTGTATGTATGAGCAGGTGAAATGTATCCACTGTAGTCTTCAGTCTTTTTTGGCCCAGTTATTGATGTAGGACTCTAAAAGTAGAAAGGGAGGGAAAGAAAGCAGCTTTTCAGAACTACTCGAAACACCAATAAAAAAAAGGGGACAACAGAAGCACAATTTGGTATTTAAAGGGATTTTAAAAATCCAACAATATATAAAGGGATGTTTTCTTGTTAGTAAATAACAAGAGGACATTGCCATCTGTTTTTCACTATTTATGGCTCCTCACAAAAAAACTCCTAAAAAACCCGCTCCCTGTTCGCCCCACACTGCTTCTTTCCTGGCACCCTCCATCTCACCAGAACGACGACAGTGATGTCAGACAAAGATTTTGGCAAGTGCATCTGCGCCGGCGCTGGCAATGAAGGGCTGGGAAGAGTGGAAGGCCACGTCATGAATGGCCTCATCATGCTTCTTCCTGTGGGCAGTGATCTCCTGCACGCACGTCCTGTTGTCCAGCATCCATAAGCGCACCGAGCAGTCGTGGCCTGTAGGAGGTGAGGAGTGGGAGGAAGCAAAGACAGCAGTGTTACGAGGGGCAGGGATGACTGCGGAGAACAATGTAAAGGAATCCTTTTACAACCTAGATTTAACACACGCCTCTTCTACAGTGTGATATGTTATATTTTGCGGTTACTACAGATTTTACAGGATTTCTTAAGGTACTTTTTGCTCATAAGCCATAAATAATCTCCTATTTCTTCAAAAGAACTAAACAAAAAACTCATTTAATTCCCCTGTTTAAAATTTGCTATTACTATCAATTAATTTGTGATTTAAAAAGCTACTTGTATACAGATTGCAGGTGATATTAAACAGATGTTTCTCGGTGTACAGAGGAGCATTTTAAAAATTAAGCCTAGGATACTTAGCTAAGTAAGCACACAGTAAAGCCGAGTACTCACTGCCAGAGATGAGGTAAGTGCCTTTAGGGTCTGTAGTAAGACAGGTGACCGCATCCAAGTGCGCAACCATCGAGTGGACAACTTTACCTGCACAAAAATTTTTTATTCAGATGCATGTGAGAAAACACATTTCAGTGATCATCAGTACACCTCCTGCACATACCTGTCTTGTTGTCTAGAAAGCGGATGGTGCGGTTCTCGTGTGCAGTGATGGAGATGGGCTCAGAAGGGTGACTGACGACACGGTTGATCAGTTCACTGCCTGCAAAGGAAGACATCACATTCAGTCTAATAGAAGAATTTAATGATTTTTCACCAAATTATTATTTGTGGCAACAACAACAAAAAAAAAAGTGTTGCACATTATGTTGGAGACTGTGTCCAGAACATACCATCTTTGGTCTGTGTATCTAGCATAGTGACACTCTGCTCTGTGTTGAGGTCATACAGGAGGGTCTCACCGCCATCAAATGACACCACCACCTGGTTGGGATCAGTGGCTACAAATGCCACTGAGGTGGGTGTTCCGTGCTCTAGGAAAAATAAATAAATAAATAAATGAAATACACACACACACACACACACACACACAAAACCAAACAAACAATGGAACGTGATGAGGATGTGGGATCTGAATAGAAAAAGCGCCAAAGCAAACCCACAAAGTCAAGACAAATGTCTACCTCTCTCCTTATTGAAGACAGACATGCAGGGGGATGAGTTCTGAGGATCCCAGATACGAATGGTGCCATCTGCTGAACATGAGGCAAGACGATGGTGAACTGCAGAGTAAGTCAGACCCCACACGCTGTCCTCGTGGCCTGCTAGTACACTGCTTTCAATACCAGGATCTGGATAAAGAATCACATAATTTAAAAAAAAGAAAAACTAAACTTTGTGATTCTGCTATATAATTAGCAGTTAAGAATGACTCACCATAGTTATCATAGGGATCCACATTCAGGTCCGGCATCTTCCAACACCTGATGGATCCATCTAGACCTCCACTGTAGCAGGACTCTCCATCTTCACCCATCGTCAGTGAAAGAACAGCTCCACTAGAGCAAGACCAAAAGAGAAGCAGGTATAAATGACATCACCCTTTCCCCCCAAGAAAACAAAAAACAAAAACCTCGTGTTCATCCCTTTTTTTTTTGTATTCACAGCATTTAATTTGAAAATGATTGCATTAATCATTCATTTTTAGAAAAAAAATTGCAGCATTTTTATTGTTCTCAGGCTGAACTCACCTGTGTGCTCTAAATGTATAGATGGGTTCAACGTCCAAAGCCGCATTCCTGTGGAGAGACACCGTTAAAATGAGATCTGGAGTTTATATTTGTGTGGCAGAGAATAACACGTCTTCATTTAAAAACATCGTCACCAGTAGGGTTCTTACTTTTTAGAGTGCATTGCCTTGTTGAGGTTCCAGAGTTTTAGTGTGCCATCCTCAGAGGCTGTGAGCAGCACTGCTTGGCTCGGGTGAAAGGTCAAAGCACGGATGGCGTCAAAGTGGCTGCGTAGTGTGAATCGGGGGTTCCATGTCTTCTTAAACTCTTCTCTGTTATCCTGCAACTGACGGGACACATGTTTGAAAAGAGGGAACATTCAAATGTTTTCATTGTACGTATCTAGCTTGTATTGCATAGTTTGTATTGATCAGAACAAAATATGCAATTACATCCATGGAAAGATCATTGTCATTGGCAACAGTGAGATCAGCCAGCTCTCCCAGGTTCATGTCACCTCCGCCAACAGCATCCATGATGAAGACATCAGAGGAGAAACCCAGGGCACCACCTGGAGGTTGTAAATGGAAAAGCACAAGAGATATGATTTCATCTTGACAAATGTCAGGGATCTAGAAAAGGATGGTGAGATCACTTTGAAATATCGTGATAAGTCCTAGATAGTTGTAGAACAGTGTCATTTATTCCACTTCCCTACTCCCACACTGTGTACCACAGGAAATATTTATAGTTGCAGGAGAAACCTTGCAAGCATACCCCTACGCAAACATCTAAATTTGAGATTCAGCAACTAAGCTACAACTGCACGGGGTAAGACTAAAAACGCAATGCTCGGCAGAGAATAATTGATGTTTTTATTGGCATATTTTGTAGGGAAGTCTTACCTTCCCCGGAGCGAGCCTGTCCGGATACAGAAGGGGGCGGGGTAGGTTTAGGGGGGAAATCTGACATCATTCCTTGTAACTTGTTCCTGCGGTTTTCTGAACCCAGCAAGAGGAGAGAGACACAATACCGTCATGCGGAGAGGTCGAGGAAGGCCGGGGAGGTCAGCAGTTGGACAGATAAGAGACAAAGGCAGAAAGAAGCTAAAAGGCAAACTTCATTCTTTACGTGTAATGACAACATAAACTTGTACAATTTTATTTACAAAAGCACATCTACAGTGCAAATATGATTCTAAATATGAAATGTGAACACATAAAAAAAAAAGGCAGCATGCGTGGTAACCTCTGAAATGGCCCTGGACCACAGAAAGTACATCTAGAGACAAAGATGACAGCTACACAGCTCTGAGGAGTCACAGACCGACAGCTTGTGAAACAGGACAGAGAGACAGGTGGTTGGGAAAAGAGGTTGGTTTTATTGACAAGAAGAGATGTCAAGACACAATGAGAAGTAAAGGAAAAAAAAGGTGAGCAAGGATAGGGGCAATAAAGACAGATACATTTATGGCAGTGATCCTGGCAGTGCTTGTGCTCATGATGTTGCTAAGGCAACAGCGTACCTAACTCCCGTCCATCCCCTGAGATCCGGGCCTCTCCCGCCCCCTCCCCATCCTCCCCTGAGCCCAGGAAGTCAAACTCATTGAGGGCGTCTTCCGAGTCGTCCTCGTCCTCTTCGTCTTCAGGGTCCATATCTGTGGTCATAGGTTCCGAACCCATCTGAGAACACAGCAGAAAGCAAGGTTGTTGTTTATTTATTCATTTTTTTGTGAAAACATTTCTTGGTCATTCTTTATTCAGCCTGCCGTACCTTCACGCGAGACTTTTTGTTCTTGCGCGGGCCATCGATGCAATCGGTGGCCATGCCTTGGAATTCATCTTCCTCGTCACTGTCGTCTTCGTCATCGTCCTCACAGCCATGCAGGAAGGGGATCTTATCCAGCACTGAACCCCCCACACGTTCCTTAGAGCTTTCTTTGCCCGCATTCCTACAAAGAGATGCACAGCTGAGTATCTTGACTGCATGTTTCACTCAAAGATCAACAGAAGGACTGCTTATTTATATATTTATTGTTTACATTGTTTTACTGTTTTTAAATTATTTCAAAACCCATAGTTGTAACAGCTGTGAGCTACCTGTGAATTATGGGTAGCACAGTAGCCTCTGGACAACACCATCAGAGTATTTCAACGGAAGACCGTTTGATCTGTTGTTTCCTTCTGTTGGTTTTCTCTGTTCAAAGCCTGCTCTTTTGTGCTTGTGTGTTCCCACTGCTTTGCATCTTGTGGTAAACCCTTTTGTGGTGTTTCTAGATTTGAAAACTACCTTCTCCACAGACTTGGCTGGAAATATTTCTGCAATCACCCACTTTAGTTGTTTTCAGTGGGCTATTTTATGCTGCATTCTTTCTTAAGAATGTACCAGTTTGTTAATTTGGTTAGTGCTAAAATCTCTGCTATTTGGTATGGTTTATTTTCAGCTGAATGGTGGCCTCCTTAACTCAAAGTGAAGGTTGAGAGTCCCATGAACAGCTATCAAATGCAAATTTAATACTTAGAATCAACCCCAGACCTTTTAACTCCCTATTTATCATGAATTAAAAATGAAACATGCCACATTTAGCTATAAAATTTACTTCTGAGCCTCTCTGCGCACTTCAGTGACATCTATCTTAATTTTACCTCCAGTGCTCATTAAAAATCCTGACTTGCATGATGAGGAATCCCCTCACTTTTAGACCTCTTCTGTCATGTGTTATTTTGCCAGTTTCGGAGTTTAAACTGTGCTTTTGTTTCACCGTCTTCACATTTCTGCTTGTGCAGAAAGATTCCACACGAATCTTGTTCACTAAGCAGTCTCATGATACAGTGACAGTTATCTCATACACCAACCCATCGCTTAATTAATTTTTAAGACGCAAATGGATTTATAATTTGGATGTTGTCCACTGTTTATAAAAGGATACCATGAACTACTACCATACTGGAAAATAGTCAGACAGGTCAAACGCAGATACACTTAATGTAAGAAGTGTTTGTCGGAAGGTTAAGGGATGGCTTCATATGCACGTCTGCCATGTTAGTGAACTAGTTTGATTATGAAGTGATGTAAAAATTGCACTTGTCTGTAAAGTTTGGCACGAGACTGCAAGTAAATGCTTTCTGTGAAAGACAAATTTTTACAAGTTGCAGCCTTTCACAAGCAGCAGTGAAAAGTTCAGTTTTTAAGGAGTAGCTTTACATCAAGTACATCTATTTAAAAAAAGGGGAAGAAGAAGAAGAAGAAGAAAAGAAAAAGGCTTTTGTGCTGCAAAAAACAAATGTTTACTCTGTCATCAATGTTCACATTGGAGCTCTTCTGTGGTGTAAGATCAAAGAGGGGCGTGTGTTTCCACTGTCTCACCTTTTTATCTGTTCCTCTATTTGTCTGACCAACAAGGACTCTCCACCTGCTCGTGGCTCAGGCTCAGGACAGCTTTCACTGGGTGGGGGCCCGTTAGCTTCAGGGCTGCTCCGCCCAAGAAGGGAGCGCACGCGCTTAGAACGCATGTCCAGAATGGTGTCTGAATAACCCACTTCCTCGAGATATCTACATCCACATACACACATGGTCATATAAATGAATCATTTAAGCCTAGATCAGAATTGTAATGTCTACGATGAAGTTGTGATGGAACACATTAATATGGCACTGAGATAAAAAGGAACGGATGATGATGAAGCCTTACTTGCGTAGTAGCTGACGTCCCTCCTTCCAGGACATCTGATTGGCTGGCTCTGAATCTGACTCAGCCGGCCCATTGGGAACTACAGAAAATAGATTGTTCAATAGTGATGCAACAGCAGGGCATGAGAAGAAAAGAAGAAAAAGAGAGAAGCAGAAACTTCGAACTGCGCTCAACGCTAAACAGGAATCTAAATGTAACAGAAGCAGACAACATAATGGGTCCAAGTTACAGAGCACATAAGGACTTGGTCAAACATACGTTGATCTGCCTCTGTCTCTGGTTTCTTGTCCCCAGGACTCTGGTCATTTCCTGTCTTCAGCTTTTGGTGCTTAGCCCTGTAATGCAACAAAGGAACACTTGAGGGCAACGTTTTGAGCTTCCACAAATACATCTTTCACTAGAAGAATCATTATGCCTGGAGCATGCAAACTCCCAGGACAGACTGAAAGAGTAACAGACATAAGGAGACTAGGACAGAAAGGGGGGGCTTTCCAGGCATTCGTTTTACCTCTCTTGTTTGAGGGCGTACTCCAGCATTTTGATTCGCCTCACCAGGTCCTGTTTCATATTCTCCTGCCCTTTCCTCTCACCCTGAAGAAACGCAACCTGAGCCTGAAACACACATATACACAGCATGGTGAGGAACACGCACACCACATCTGTCCATATAAGCATAAACAAAAGTAAGATAAATTGGGACCTGGAAAAGAATTAGTTACAAAATGCATGCACCCTCTCGGTTTGGGGTGAAAAGTAAATCATTCAACATCAACAAAACATCGCAATGAGAGACTGAACAAAAAGGTTTGATGTGACTAGCTGTGCAAAAAAAAAGAAAAGAAAAAAAGACTTCTGAAAGCCAAGAGCAATAAGTAGAGGGTTGTGGAATAGGGCTCTTATTTTAACTTTCCTAACCGAGGCCTCACTGCGCATCTGCAAAGGAGGAAAAACAAGACATGGAGCAGCCAAATTCAAACACCCTCTTTCAAGACCCATCCTTTGCTGTGTTTCCTCTCTCATTTCCTGTCCATTTCCTTCCTCACTGCTGATAAAATTCTTACCTTGAGGAAAGAAATGTTCTGCCTGTTCTGACTTTTCCCCAGTGAGTTCTGAGAGATAGAAAGGTAATAAGAGACTACAGAGTGATGACACGGCTTCCAAGCACTACACCGAGACAGGGTTTCCCTTGAGTAAGCCATCATAATGCAAGAATTGACAAAAATGTGAAATATTTGCCAGACTTAATGACAAAGATTGCTAATGCAGGTTTCAACCCGGCTGTGCCTGCTCACAGTAAGCAACTTTTGTGCAAAACCCATTTAACATCAGACAACAAATATCCTGCCTGCTTTTAGAAGGAGAAAAAAATGCCCAAGTGAGGAGAAACAATACAAACAAACAACTAACAAACTAACTAACTAAACAGTGATTCCTGTCAGAAGTAGGTTAAAAAGCCCTAACCCTGTCTCTACTCCCAGGATGGTGACTGCAAGCACAACAGGCATTTTCTCTCTCTGTGCCAAGTGGTGCTGAAGCATTAATACAGCTTGTTTTACAGCCCATTTCTCCTCTGCATGCCCCTGTCTGTGTCCACGAGTCTGCTCCCACACACATACGCAATTCTATAAAACTAGAACAATCTAAAAACGCCGTCTCACGGGGCAGACACTTTGTCTGCTCGGAAGGGTAGTCAATCTCTGAGAAAAAGCGCACATATATACCCAGACACACACACACACACACACACACATACACACACAGTCATGTAACCAGCTAGGAGGGCTAGTGGAACACAGGATAATCTGCCAAGCAAACCTTCCTACTGCTGCTACTGCTGCTGAGTAATCCTGATTAATGCAACGTGAATTTATATGCTTATCTGAGAGTTTTGGAGAGAACTCTCAAAGCTAGTACATTAACACTGTAGACATGGGCTAATAGGGGCATGAAAAACAGAGATTTTGTGGGGTTATTCTTGGCCTAAACTAAGAGGAGCAGGTCAGTACATGTACATTATCTAAAGTCTTTTCACAAGTAGAATAACTAATGAATTAACTGAAATAACATCTAAGCCATTAACTGAGATGAAATGAAAACCAGTTTAGCTTAGCCATCCATAAGACACAGTCTCACTCATTTGCTCTATTTCTGTGGCTGGCATTCCCACACATGCGTGCAGTAATTGTGCAGTTGGGTTCTGTAATAGACCATGCAGAAGATGTATTTTGCACATTACATGCAAGCAAAAACACTTGTTTTAGAGCGACATAATCAGATGTAAATGTGCATAAACTTACTAAACTACCACATAGGCAAAGCTGGGCGATGTCATGGTGTGGGCACAGCATGTACACTGTATACTGTATACTATAAATGGCTGAGCACAGATGGAATGCAGTCCGAGCTTGGGAAAAAACCTACTTCAAATCTAAATGCTATAATTGTTTTACATCAGCAGTTCTGTGTACTATGATTTAAGTAGAGGTCAGTATTTGAGGAATTTTCAGGGAGGTTTTGTGTATGTAAACAAGTTGTTCAGACAGATTTTTTAGTGTACTGACAGCCTTGACACAAGTCCTGCTTAAAAGCTTACTAAAAGACTGTGACTAAAAGTTATGTAGATAACACCAGATGCAGAAAGGTGCTTTTTGTGAACTTAATTATAAGCCAGACTTGTACTTCAGTGAACAAAAGTGCTTAAATCAGCAGCAGCCTCCTGTAGACAGACACAGTAACAGTAAATCTCTTCTTGAATAATGACTTAACTCTTTTAATGGCGTAAATTTGATCAGTTGTGTAAAAGAATAAGGCATTAAATCAATGTGTTTACTTCACCCTCGTGGGGCAAAGACACACGTTTCTACTCTTACTCACACACAGACAAGCTACAGCTTGCCTTTGGACACGGATAACCATCACACCCCTGTGTACCAGTCTCGCCCTGTGCTCCTAGAAGGACAGGTTCATGCCTCAAAGCCTTGACACTGTCTTGTTGGCGAAGTTGGAGACAAGGCTGCATTTGTGCACACACACCCCAAGTACAATGCAAGAGCAACCTTTCTCTGATACATAAAGGTAACCAAAACACAGGTTCAAAGGGTTTATTGTTATATGGAAGTGTTTATGCAGGACTTACCAACAGCTCTTCCTTTCTACGGTTTCACTTTTAAAATAGAACAAATGCTGCTTTCTATGTCTGACTTTGTGAGTAAAATAGGGTCCTAAAACTAAAAATTTCTACACGGACAAGAAAAAAAAAAAGCTGTACCATGGAACTGCTACAGCAGACTGTGTAATTACACAAGGGGATGTAATAACCGCACTGTTTTTCACTTTCATTTGTCTCTGTCATTCTGCCCTTTGCCTGCTTCAAATTCTTGTTTTCACTCATGTGAAGGATCAAGGCCAGGAGCTTTAAGACAAGGCCGTCCATTCATCCACTAGTCAAGGTGCTCTTATTGCAAGACTGTCACTTAACGTCAGAACAGAAGCTGTTGAGACAATCACAACAGATGTGGAGCAGCAGATAGAAACCTATCACTGCTTTTAATATCAAAAGCAAAAGAACTATCTGCTTCCATCTGATAAACAGGTCAAAGAGTAATAAAACCACTAGGGTGTCATTTATCATAGCCCAGCTAACAATGACACTGTGGTTACTTTCTTCATAATATGTTGGTAAACTAACAAAGGCTAAAGTACAAAGGGCCTACGGGGCAAGCAAACCTGTCGCGCCATCTGATCTAGCCTTCCTGTGGGTGGGTTTTCCTTCATGAGGCCCGCTGCCGCTGACCTTTCCACAGTTTGCTGTTGCATGGAGCGCATCCACATTTAGCCTATTCTGTCAGTCCTTCTCTACTAGCTGCAGAATAGGGTCAAGGGCAGCTTTCCTCCTCCACTGGCTATTCTCCATCTTTTTATCCCTTCGCACCCCGTGAGAGAATCCATGAGCAAACAAGTAGAGCAAAGAAAACTTTTCTGGGACAGTGTGCTTGGAGTGTGCTAGTGACACTGTGTGTGCAGTCCAAGAGTGGTAGCTAGATAGATAGATAATGACATCCCAATTAGTGGGATTTTATGACTAAGGTTACAACATGCTTGACTGACAAACAGTATATAATTTTTTTTTTTAAGAGAAAGGGAATGGAAAATTTTAAATAAGGAAAATAAAGGATGAACGCTGCATGTTGAAGACTGCAATTGCAAGAGCAGTGCTGTGAAACAACACAATACACATGGACATCATATGTGTGTCACGGCTGAGTACACAGAGCTATTAATTAGAGATACGTACCCAGGGACTGCAAGACTCACACCAAACAGGACGTGATGTAATTTGGGTCACCAGTAATCTATTCTACATGTCTACTAACATCCTTAATAAAATGAAATGGCTGAAAATGAGAACACTTTAAAGAGGAACAGGTTGAGGTCATCCCTTTTCCCTGTAGAATAAATGACTATCTGAGGAATACCCTGTAGATTTAATTAGGATTCTTCTCATGCAAAAACAATGCCTAGTTAGAAACAAGACTGCTACTGTGTGTGTTTTCACAGAGCAGATTCTTAAGTAATTGAATTATAGACAGGCAAAAGCCACAGCCACCTGTCAGTGAAGACACAGCGCCACAGGTGGCTTTACACACCAACACATTAGCGGCGCACGTGTCGTGATCTCGCAGAGACATGCTAAGACACACATGAAGAGATCTCCTCTGTTGCACACAAAGTCACACAGATCTCAAATGATTGTGAGTTAATTTTGCATGTGACTCAGTAAAGCCTTTGAAATTAAAGTGTGGAAAATACCATGTGCAGACAACATGTGAGCAAACTACACTATGGAAACATTTACAGCATGTTAACTGTGTAGGTTATGACCAGGGGGCACACTAACTGGCTCAGTGAGAGGAGAGCTGCAAGCATGTTGGCAACAAAAGCCAGAGGCCTTTGGCCCGTGGGTGTTAAACTGTAAGCTAGGTCAGTTTTTCAGCGTGGCACTCCAGTTATCTTCTCTTTCTCTCAGCACAAGCGTGGTGCTAATTGTACCCGTGAAGCCAGACCATGTGCAGCCAATGTGCACATACAAAGTTCCATAACAAGCACTTAATGGCATGTCGGACACAGCAATTGGCTGTTTCTGCTTTCTATTCCCTGCTCTTCCCTCGTTTTTATAAAAGCAGCAAGCACTGCCCATTTGTTATTGTTCATTCATATTTTATCAAGCCACTATTTATAACTATGTATGT